CTCTCCTCCACACCCCGCAAGCCCCTGACCCCCTTACCCCTATTCAGCGGGGCGAGACTCAGGAGGTTTGGGAGGGGACAGGACTTGGCAAGAGTCTCTAAGAAACTAAGAAACTTCCAAAAGCCCTTTAGTCTTTACTTTTTAGAAGTTTCGCGTAAAAATGCCTCATATGCTTGATTGCTTTTTTATTTTAGATAGTTATTTTCCGAAAAATCTAAAATTTTGCTGTGATTCTGGCCTAGACCAAATTTGCTTTTGTCGCACGCGGAAAATTAAGTGGGCATTAGGGGTACCAGTCGACTATGGGAAATTACTCAAATTTAATAATATCAGGGAAGGGCCAAACACTCGACAAGTTCATCAGTAGTCATGCTCCTGAGTGCAGAAGGACGTAGCAGGATGCTTCGAAGGAGACATATCGCGCTCCACGGGATGAGTCTCCGAGCTGGTCCTGCAGGACATCCGTCCCACCCCCGCCTGGCCATCGGCCAACGGGCTTCGGCCAGTGGTGCAGGGCCAAGCGGAGGGAGGAGACAATATACGTGCATCACTTCCTTCGATTGCTCTCAGTACATTGGCGTGTCGTCCACACTCTCATTTCCTTATGGACTCGCTTACGGAGAATTTTGTGCACACGTATTGTGGACAGCAAAATTATCCATAATACGGATAATTTGTGATCCATAATACGTTTGCACAAAATTCACCATAACATACGGATAGCACATCCATAAGGAAATCATAGGGCAATCTGTGCGTTCTTCGTGGGGTGCTAACGATATTTTGAGTCTTATGTCTTTTGCAAAGGCATTAAAGTGGCATAAAGCTGCTGAAAATTAGTGCCTTTGACAGTTATTTAAATCTTTCAAAATCCGTGTAACCTTTTCTTTCCAATGACGATACAGACTATAAGAACAACTCTGTTCCACACTGAAACGAAACCTCCATTTCTAAATTCAATATTCTGTTCAAAATATGCGTTTTTCTGTAAAAGAAGTCTTTATGGGCTAGTGAAAAGTCGAATCGACATCGATGTTGCTCGAAAAAGGCACTTCGTCACTCAAATCGAGGAATCAAGTGATCATCGAATCGATGTCGATTTTTTTTTTCATTTCTGGCTCGGTTTCTGTTCTAATCATTCTTTTGTTTATAGAAATTCCTGGATTGATTTATACACTTTCGTGCTCTAAGGTACGAAGGTCAGTCATTTTTGCACACAAATTTTTCCCAAACGTAACCGAGTAGGTTTAGCCTTGAACAAACGTTTTGCAGAAAGACAAACAATTGCAGTGGGTGTGCTTATCGACGAAAGTTGTGCAAGAGTGCAACGACACGGCCGCAGAGCCGTTTTCTACCTTTCGTTCATCAGACTTGCGAGAATGTCGAACGCAGGCCAGGCGTCGACCACAATGGTTGCCGCGGGTGGGCTGGCGCGGGCTGGCGCGGGCTGGAGGGGGCCGGGCTGGGCGGCGCGCGAGCAGGCCACGCCCACAGGCGCGGGCCCGTCGACCACAGCGGGCCACGCCGCGCCGCACCGCGCCACGCCACGACGCCCGCCCCTTGTCTAGCAACCCGCTAACCAGAATCACACACACACCAACCCTCGGCAGACAATGGGGCGAACAAACCATCCCCCAACCTCACGCCAGCGCTCACCTTAGGGGAGAGGGGGCGAACAGTGAGTTCGCGTCACCATGAGTTATCAAACTTAAGAGGAACGACCAGTATGAAAAGTGGTATTCTCGTCAATGTGCACAAACTCTGAAAACTCAACAGTGTACATGCGATGACTGCTGATATATCAGCAATCATCAATGCACTGGAAACGCAAGTGTGTGAATGTCACACACTTGCAAGTGGGCGACATTCACACACTTATTGCGTTTCCAGTGTGATCACGTTTAGGTTATTGGCTAATATTTCCTTTCAGACGGATATAATCGGAAAGTGGGTGGCATTTCCAGATTTCTTTTGAAAAAATGTATCAAACCACGAGCAATTATGTGATAGGGTTCACTACTGAAATGGTCCGCCTTTCGAAAACGTCGGTAATGTAAACCAAGTTCTGCTGGTGGTCGATTTGAGTGCTACTTCAAGATTCTATATCCCTTGTCATATATTATCGGTGTTCAATAAACCACGTGTTTCTAAATTATCTGCGAATATTTGATTTGTTTTCTAAACTGATCAACGGAGAACATTTTTGGATCGTATTGTATGAGTAAAATGAAAACAAGCTGACACTACACCTGGGTCGACTGCACCAAAAGACTTTGGTCTAACAACTGTCGCCGTTCATGAAGCTTATTGCTCTATCAAGATTTTTCCCACCGTCTTTTTTTTTTTAGGGAAAATAAATCCTAATTGCGTTTGGTGGTTGTTGCAGGAGGAGGGGGTGGTCGCCGCGCTGGGGGCCAGCCTGATCCAGCAGCGGGAGGGGGGAGACCGCGCCCTCACGGCCTTCCCCCGCGAGCTGTCCCCCCTGGCGGGCAACACGCTGCTGGGCGCGGGGCTGGTGGGCGGCCCCAGCCTACCCGGCGGGCTGCCCAGCCTGCCCGGCCGGGACTCGTGCTCGGACGCCTTCTGGAAGATGCCCCACAAAGGTAAGCACGCATTTACAGGGAGACTGTTCTCTATTTCTATTCTCTTCTCCCAAAAGTAAAAAGTTTTCGTTCTGCAGTTTGCCGATTTTTATGAGGGGAAGGGAAGGGGGGGGGGGTTATATATTGCATAAACTAAGAATACAATTAATTAGTTTTGAGATTTATTTCAAACAAATATAAGGCATTAAAAAAAACATTTTTGCCTTATGAATAATGCAATTTTTTTATTTTTTAAATACGAAAATAATTTATCCCTTTTTTTCACAACAAATAGAACTGCGTACCCTTTCCCGCTTCTCCATCTTTTCGTTTCCCTTTTTTGTCTGCAAAGATAGCTTTTTACCTCGTGCACCCCACACGACCAGCGCTAGTAGTACTCATCGGGATGGTCAGGTCAGGGGATATTCGAGCGCGCTGTCGTATCACCTTCGAAGCGATCGCTGCGTCTCTCTCTCTCTCTCTCTCTCTCTCTCTCTCTCTCTCTCTCTCTCTCTCTCGCGGCGGCACTTTGACAGTCAGTGGCTGTGAGTAATGCCCGGTGCGTGGCTGCGGGGCGGCGGCGCCGCGTGCATATGCAATCATTTGCAAAGTCTCGGTCGCGTGTCGACCCC